GACGCAGCCCCAGCATGGCTGGAGAAGCGGTGAGCGCCTGGGATCCGAACCCAGGCCGCCAGTATCGGAGCGCGCGCACTTAACCGCTGAGCCACGGGGCCAGCCCAGTGCACTCTTTATTGTACATTCTGGTTCTTAACTTCCTTTCTTTACCTATTTTCCCAAGTAACTGCATTTTTTTGTGAGCAAGACTGCAATGCTCTTATTTTGTATACAGCTCCCCCCACACTGCTGCAGGGCTAAGTGCTCAACAGAAACTGGTTGCATAGCGCCACATTAGCAGTGAGGTGGGAAGTAACATATGCAACGGACTGAGGTTTAGTCTCCCTTTTCTACAAACCTTCAGGAAGGTCAGGGATAGTTGTCAGATGCTCTCACAGCACTATTTCAGGTTTTTACACACACACTTGGTGTTATTCCAAACAGTCTACAACATGTATACTTCGGTACTGGGAGTCTTACACACTCAGAATAAAAATTACACACTCACATTTTCTTTCTCAAACTTGGACCTATGATGTTATTAAACGTTTTTAAAACTAATTTTCAAAGGTTAACATTACTGCAGTTCCAGGTCTTCACAAACCAGATTGTAGGTAGGCATGGCTCTGTTTCCATAGTTGAACTCTGCAGTTTGGTCTCTATATGAGGTGCTGACCTGAGTCTGAGGTTATGCATGGCCACTGGCATTAACGTGTCCTTCCTTACACTGAGGCCACTGCAGGCAAGCTGCGGAGCTTCAACAGGCAGTTCTTTTACATAAACTCAAAAGACATTTGCTATTTCTAAGCCTCACACCTCAAATCAATCCAGACCACCTCAATCAGATGGAGGTTCTTCTAGGTAAAACTGTTGCACTGACAAAGGTGATCTTCCAAACAACACCCCCTCCTTTATTTTTTTGGTCTGTCAAGCCTCTTTCCCCACTCAGTGGTCTCACTCTGCCTATAGCCAGAGAAAAATGTTTACCAAATTGTTTTCAAAGTAGTCTTCCCGACATGAGGAGCTGATGCTAAAACTGCATAAAAGCAGCGTTCTCCCCCTCTCCCTCACCATTTTTGAAATTAAAAAAAATTAGCTTGATGGATAAAATGCTCTCAATGTGAAGTTTTTCTCTCATGATGATCTTAAACATGTATTCTCCCCTTACTTGCCTACTAGTTAAAAAACAAATCATGTAGTAATTGAATAGTAACGGAAAAAATTGGAACCAGCCAATTATGTTCAGATTGGCAGTTGTTTTGTGACCATATATGCTCTTGTGATTTTATATTGTGTATCACAATTATATCCTCTGTCTGTAGAGATGTTCCGCATTAGTAGAGCAGAGTTATAAAGCTACTATTTCAAAGTCGTTTCAAAGATCAGATCCAAACTTCCTTGTGTTCTACCACCTAAGAACCACAGGGATACAGGCAGTAGTCTGTGAGTGATGAATGTCCAAATTCTGCCAAGAATATTTATTTTTAAAGTGACCCATAGGAGAGGGCAATGTTCAACCCAAAGGAATGAAGCAAGAATGCCAAAGTATCAGGTATTGTTTTCAATCACCAGAGCCCTGAATATCAAAGTTAGTTTTAGCTGAATTCTTGGTTACCAATTAGACAGGGGAGATTAAAACCGGACAAACCAAACAACCAAAATTAGCCAAGAAAGGTAAGACATTTTATTTTACATACAAAAAGGGTGCAAACTGAGTTCTTTCCTCCCCAAATTGGGGAAGAGGTATACCTAAAGATCACATTTGTGTTTTCCATGGTGCCCTAGGAAATGGGCTACTCTGAGATAACATCAAGACCCATTTTCCGTTTTCTCCAAAGAAGGCTACTTCCTCTGCAGAAGAGTTTTTCTTAATGGTGTACAAATCTGTCTCCTGGAGGAATCATTTCAAATACATTTGAAATTGACATTCATGTTTAAAAATACAAGTTTCATTTTCACAGCTGAGCTTTACGACCAGTGCCAGGGTTTATGAAACAACATTACATATGTAAAACAAAAGTTTAAAAAAAAAAAAAAAGGAAAAAAGGCATTTAACAATAATCAGACACATCCACACATCAATTAAAATTGATTTCCACAGCTGATTTATACATTATCTAGTCTTTAAAAATTGCAATCAACATCCCAACATCTTTTAAAAAGTACAATGGGCAAAGATTAAAGAAACAGACAAAATAATAATAAATTAGAGCATGTACTATATCCAATGGGAATTGATGAATCAACATTATTTTCCATTGGGGGTTATAATATTTTTGGTTTTATTTCTATCTTTTCTGCTGTTTACTCTTCTGCTTGATAAACGGGGCTCATTCCCAGAGCCAGCTTCCTGTAACACTAATTTGAGAAGCTCACTTGTTACTTGTTTACTTCCAAGAATATTCAGGAACACATGGTCCCAGCAGCCTGGGCTGTCTTTATGGAAGTGAAATGCACACAGATGAGCACACACACACACAGGCATATAAATGCAACCACACACACCCATCTGTAAATATATTTCCCCCCAAAGAAATGGCTCATCTTTCCTGAGACATTCCTGACAGATTGATAAGCCTCTTAAGAAAGCTTTTGGTGCAAGGGCTGACCTGGGATTTGGTCTGGAGCTCATGAAGAGGAACACTGAAAAAGCCTCACCTGCCCTGAAAGAAGGGATTTGTGGGTAAGGGGCAGTCAGGACAGCTGTTCTCTTGTGTTACTGGGATGGCTGCACTGCACCCCCATTTATTACCACGGATAACCCTCCACTCTGAGACTTTGAAGGTGTTGATGGCACTGGAAAGATGATTGTGAAGAGTAAAAGAAGAAAAATAACAAAAGAAATTCTGTCCACAGAACTGAGGTTTCTTTATAACATCAAGTTTGGTAATCAAACTAGAAATATACGGAGTACACATTCACTTTTTCCTTTGTAAGCTGACCTACAAACAAATACTGGAGTGGACTTCCTGGTTGCTTTTTGAGGATATATGTCCACTACTGTCTATATCCAGGGAACCTACTTACTATTTTGAATACAATGGAGAAACCTAATCTTTTGCGCTTGGTCACTTGCAAAAGGAGTTAGGAAAAACATGTTTTTAAGACTGCTTAACTGATCCAAGACTTCCAATATTCCTTATTTGTGACTAAAACACTGCTCAAAACTCTGCAAACCCTCAGAATGGCCATGGTTTCCTTTTCTTCTTATTCAGAAACAATTCCCACCCCCCCCCAAAAAAAAAAACCACAAGAATCCCATTTTATTTCCTACCAACCTATCATGGAGATGACTGGGAGTCACTGGCCATCAACCTCTAGATGGGACTCTCCTGGAGCCCTGGAGTCAGTAAAAGGAAGAACCCCAGAGACAAGTGCCTATTGCTCACATGGCCAATCCAGACGGGGTGCCTAGTCATCCTGGCTCCCTAAGGGTTTCTGGAATTCATCTGCCCACCTTGGGGCAATGGTGGGGATGGTGGCAGTGGCCTGGCAAAGGCAATGTTGGCTGTATGGTGCCGCAAGCTCCCGATCTGAGAAACTCTAGCCCTAACGTGGCTCTAACACTGGAGACGACATTGTCAGGGCAACTCATTGGGAATGGAAAAATGGTTTAAATATGAAAATGAAAGAGGTAATTGGAACACAGAAGGCATGTGGACTTGGGAGAGATGCATCAGAAGAAAGATCAAATTCCTTTAAGGAGATACTTTCTTGGCTGCCATGGTAGTACTTATTTTTGAAAAATGCAGGCCATGATTGCTCAGTGGGAGGGGGAACAGGTTATAGCTTTTGCATAAAAAAAAGTTAAGGCTATGATCTTTAGTAACCACTACAACATAACATTACCATCATAGCATATTTCTGACATTGGAAGTGGTTACTAACACTGAGAATCAACACTGAATATGTACCACCAGTGTACATTTCCAGTGAACTAAGTTGGAAGTTACTTTAGAGGCGATGGACACCTCTTCTGGCTAATGGCAGGGGCTGTTCCTATGTACTTGGAGTTCACTGAGAATAAACAGGCAATCAGAACTTCTACTGGAAACCTCAGGATCCTGCTGTCTCCTGTTGCTCCTGCATTTCAAAGGAAAATGGAGCTTTAACTGGAGGCCAACCTACTCACCTGACTCATACCTTCCAAGACCCTTTTTACTCCTAGACAGACCCAAAATAGCAGGAGAATGTTAATGAAGGCAGTCATGAAAGCACGCTGGCCGCTGGCACGCTCTGCCCAATCTTGCAGAGCAGTCTGGAGTGAGATCACTGGGAAAGGCCAAGGTGTGCATAGCAAGTGATCAGTCCTCACGTGCTTAGACTGCACACACAAAATTCGTGCTCTGGTCACAAGGGAGGGACCTTTAAGCCTTGGTGGATTCCTGGCCTGCTTGTCTCAAGATGCAATGCCTGAAGGACCACAGGGCTTGGGAGAACTCCTAATGGTATAATATTAAGGGTTTTTTACGAAGAGATGCTGTTAGCACTTTAATGCTAACTCAGTAACAGTTGCATCAATCCCAAAGAAAAAGATCCCCAGGCATCGTGGTTGTGAACTGGAGAAAGCTCAAAAACTACAGAGTAAGTGGACTTGGGTGGGTGGTGGTGAAAGGAGCACCCAACCCCAAGGACCTGGCTGAGGCATACAGCTGAGCAACTTCAGCGACAGGGCTGAGGAGGCAGCCCTGATATGCTGGTGGGGATGGAACTGATGGCCAAATTACTCCTTACGTACTCCTTTTCTTTCTTTCCTTTTTTTAAATTTTAAGGAAGATTATATAAGAATCTCTCAGGGGTCTGGGACCACCCTGGAGTGCCAATGGCCCTGGAAGGATCACCATTAACCTGCGAGAGGGACCTGGGGCTCTTTACCTTTCTTATGAAAATCAAATCTCTAGTAAGAGATTTGTGCAGGGCAGAGAAGAACAGTGCATTAGGAAGGACCCCCACAACTGCTCAGGTTCAACCCCTCAAGAGCTAGCCTTTAAAAAAATGTAAGACCAAAAAAATAAAAAGTCACAAACACAGCTGCAAAGGGGGCTTGCCCTGCAGCCAAGCTGGTCACTGCCTTTGCTTTTTTGGGGAAGCAGGAGTGGGGAGGCACTTAATGGGGTACGGAGTGCCAGGATGCTCCAGGCCTTGGCACCATTTCCCTTTGCCCTCCATTGAGAGGCAAAGCTTTTTCTATATTATAGGGGTGAGGAAGTTAATTTTTTATATAGGAAGTTAGAGTTGCCCAAATGCCAACTGAGAAACTATGTAAGTTGCAGTGATGGTGCCTTAACCCCTAGGAAATGTCAAGGAAGCAAATCCCAATATTCAAAATCCTTGTGGACAAGGGATATGACACCATCTCCCAGCCATTCTGTTTTGTATACAGGAAAGTTTCCTTTAAAGAAATGAAAGATTACAATCTTGACATAAGCTAAGCAGGTTTGAAGCCAGGGAAGTACTATTTCCTAGCCAAGGCCCAATGGAACAGGTGAAGCCCAGTAACTCTGATCCATGCTACTGATGCTATTTCTGCTCCATGTAAGATACATCAAGGGACTTGTCAGGAAATGCCAACTACCAGAAAGTATCCCCACATCCTCCAGTCAAAAAGACAGCCCTACATCTCAAGCAAGAGGAAATGATTTTTGTGTTCCAAAACCCACCAGACTAAGCCACCAGCCATTGTCCTCCATGGTTAGCTTTCTCTACTCCCAGATACAAAACCTTTTTCCTCTATCACATCTGGAATGAAAGGTCACTGTTTGGATAAGCTACTGAACTCAAATGAAAATTGAGCACGAGAAGATTAACTCCATACCTTAATGACTTTTCAAGCAGTGAATGAGGAACCAAGACCCTTCACAGTAGTACGCTGTGTGACTACACCATGGGGGGACGCAGAGAACGTACTGGGAAGAACATGCTCTAGAGGCATGGCCATCTTATTTGGAAGGAGTCTATGTCCAATTGAGAAGGTAATTTCAGACTTTCATTTCAGTCTCCTTTCTCCTGGAATTTTCCAGCACCAACCAATCTTTTCCTCCTGTTCACTACAGCCCCATGTATGGAGAGTCTCAAGCCTGCTGCTACAGACCTGCTCGGTGATCTGCAGGTGCTTGGTTTCTGATAAGGCAGGCCAGCCCAAATGCTGTAACTCAGCAGCTGGGGCAGAGAGTACACACCAATTTTATTTCCGGGCCCTATGATGCCAAATCCTAAAGTTCCTCTGGCAGTTGGAAGGCAGGTTCACTTTCTTCCTCTTTTGTTCCACTAGTGGCAATATGGTGGTGGCTATTTCATCAATAATTTTGTCCCCAAGTCACTAAGGAAGTCACATGGCTACCTAGTTGGAAGTCCCTGGCAGTGGAAGAAACAGATATTTCAGATTTTTTTTTTTAAGCATCTCCTTCTCTGGATGAACTGACTCCTATTCACAGTCTGGCTTGGCTGGCTCATCCCACGTACTGGAGAGCTGAGTTGTCCAAACTGCAGGCTGATGAAGTCAAGAGGCTCTGGTAGGGACATTCTTCAGCAGCTGAGAAGATGAATGAAAATTCAAGTATGTTTCCTTGTCAACCTGAGTGTTCACTCAGAATGACACAGAGTTTGGCTTCTTCTCTTCCGGGTGCTGCAGACCCAACTCTTTCCATTGAGAATGTCCTCTGGACTCAGAATATTCTCTCTGAATGGCTTGGCTGGCCCCATCCCCATCAAAACAGAAAAAAAGTAAAACTCCCAATATAACCAGACACAATATGCATCTGCCATGTTTTTGTTTAAAAAAAACAAACAAACAACTAAAAGTGCATTAAAGTCAGTTTTTTTTTCCTTTTCTCAGAACAATTTGCATTGTCCTACCATCTAGAGAAGAGTTCGCTTGTCAAGAAAGCTAAGAATGCCAACACACGGGGACAGTAGACTGCAGATTTCTCACAGCTTGTGTCCTACAGTGTAACTTCACAGGAGGGAGGGAGGGAGTAACCTGTACCCCGTGGCCAGCTGGGGACGCAGGCTGCACAGGCACAGAGGAAGAGGGAGCCATACTGCCAGACACACCTAGTAGGTGGAGAAGGTTCTTCTCCTGTCCAGGCTTGCCATCTTCCTCCCACCTTCTTGACCACACCCCCGGCCTCTTGAGCTCCTTCAGCAGAAAAAGCCTTCAACTCACTAGCTTTTATGCTGGAAAGGATTGAGGGTAGGGCAAGAACCAGGAGTAAACTAAGGGGAGGGAAGAGAATAGTAGTCCTTGAGTTTTTGTGAATGACACCTTCACTGTAAACAATAGGAAGGAGAGTTAACCAGGCAGCCCCAAGGGCAAGCAGTGAGGGAGCAGCAGCTCTGGGACCTGCTCAGAGCCTTAGGCAGGTGGGGACAGCCACTGACCCACTGGGCCCTGGCTACCCACACTGGCTCCTTCTGCGGGCATCTGTTTTCTTCTTTTTGGTTTGGATCTCCACCCTCCCCCACAGAGGAGTCCCTTCCAATGAGAAATGGCAGAAACTGCAGGTGCAATCAAGTCAGAGTCCCCAGGGCATGAGGACTCCTGGGAGGCACTGGTCACTTGTGGCGCTGAGCAGTCTTCTTCCTTTTCCTCTTAAAGAAACAGCAGCACCTGGAGCACAAGGAACATTGCAAGTCAGTAATGGAGGCCTGTGGCTTCCAACAGACTTCTGCCTGCTTCTGCTTACTGCAGGGGGTAGAATTTCCCCCCTGGCACCCTCCCACAGGGCCGCCCACCATCTACAGGGCACATACTGGAGGCAGTGAGCAGTGTCTACTAGGAAGCCAAAGGAAATAGCTGCTTCATTTCAATCCACAGCTATCAAATCTAATGACCAAAATGCTGCAGGCTTCTTTCCTAGTCTAACACCCAACCCAAATGCTTCATCTTTATCTAGAACCGAGGCTGGGGGTCCTCAGGGCTTCATAAGAATAGCCTGAATTGTCTGCCTCTTGATACAGGGGGCAAAATTATTTAATGCAACTTCAGTCATTAGTGGGTATGGAAGCTACACTAAGGCAAACAAACCCCATGAAAAGTATGATGTTGGGAACTCTAGGAGGATCTCATGATGCTACCAATGAAGGATTAAGGATTCTCTCTATCCCCCATCCCCGCCCCCACCCAGCTACCTGGAGTAGGCAGGAGAAGCCCTGACTGTACTAAGAACTGTGAGCTCAGATCTCCTGACTCAAATCAGCGCAGCCCACTTTTCATTCAGAGAGAATCAATGCCACAGCCCAGGAGCTGATCACCAGCAAGCCTCTGGTTGCAGGGTCTTCCTCAACTTAGCTTTCTGAGACTGCTGCTGCTGTGCCAGACTGGGTTAAAAGACTGACCCTGTTTAGGGTGTCGGTTGGGGCCTGCTTCCTTCATAAGCTCTCCAAGTGCTGCCTCCTGGGCAACAGCCACAGCTCTGGCACAACCCTAAGCCTGAGTATCCCCTCCCTACTCCTGTCTTTGGAATAAGAAACACCTCTTGCTCAGGCAGTGACTAGTCCAGCAGCGGGTGATGAGGGCTGTGGCATGGCTGGTGCAAAAGATATGTCCTTTCCAAGAAGCTGACACATGGGAAATGAGAAGGTGAGGGGTAGAAGGTGGTGGATGAGTCAGAGATGCCAAATGATGGAGGGGAGTAAATTTGGAAGTGTAACTTAGACTTGCTGGACCCTTGAAAGAAAAGCTTTTCTGAGAAATCTATCTTTGGGTCTCTTGCTTAATACTTCTGCGTTTAATGCCAGGAATATTCATATGGAAATAAAGAACTGCTGCTTACTTTCCATACTCCTAACTTCTCCACTGTAGCTAAGATTCTCTCCTTTTTTAGTCAGACCCCTTGGTATTCCTCCACCCAGTGGACTAATTATTAAAAATTTGGAGAAAGTTTCTTAGAATGCAGACATAGACATTTACACAGACAATGATGGGCTTGAACCATATCTGAATGAATGAAACATGGGGATTCTGGAAATAAAAGCTTCTTAAGAGGGTCTTAAAAAAGATTTTCTAAGAGTATCAATGACATTCGTGAAAGACCATTAATGGGTGTAAATATAGTCACTAAACAAAGTGTCATGTGTACTGGGAGACTGGATAAACTCTTTTAAATAAAAATGACCAACACTTTTGATTGTTTAAAATAGTTCTCTATTGGGCCGGCCCCGTGGCTTAGCGGTTAAGTGCGTGCGCTCCACTGCTTGCGGCCTGGGTTCGGATCCCGGGCACGCACCGACGCACCGCTTCTCCAGCCATGCTGAGGCCATGTCCCATATGCAGCAACTAGAAGGATGTGCAGCTACGACATACAACTATCTACTGGGGCTTTGGGGGGAAAAAAAATAAAATAAAACAATTAAAAAAAAAAATAGTTCTCTATGGAATCCCTGGGGAAGGAGTCAAGAAAAAAAAGTGGTCTTTTTCTGTACAAATGCTTTAGAAAACAGGCATTTTACAAGTTGAATGTCCTGAAATTAATATTAAATAAGGCAAATTAAATCTCATGGGAGCACCAATATTTCAATAGAGTTACCTGATCCCTATTAACCACGATTTTCAGAGGGATCACTAACATTTAAGTCAATTTCTATTCTTATTCCTTTTGGAGGATGCTAAGATGATGATTTTGTGTTTTTAAGTAAGAGCAATCATAAACGAGTTTGCAATACTATTTTGGTCCATTTCAAATGATATGACTTCTCTTTTACCTCCTCCAAGACAAGTCATAAGAGTTAATGTCTGCTTACAAGCATATCATAACCTGACTAGAGGAGAATGTGAGCTATGGTTCAGAGCCCTAGATTAATTTTTGTTAGTTACTATAGCTAAAACTTCAGCAGTAGCAGTTTTTAATAATTCTACCCACAAGGAAACACGCCCCACAATCTGCTTCTCAACTCTTTGGTTTCTGTGGTGACTACCAGCAACTTGGTCAGACCCCAGACTCAAGCCCACTGGATTACTCTCAGAAGAGAATAAAGACAAGTGAGGAACCCTTCTTGTTTCCTTCGCATTGATTCTTTGACTGGATGACCAGAAGTTCTTAAGATGCTGGAGTCAGAATCGGTCCAGTCTCCCCACTTACAAGCTACCAGGTGCTCTTCCCTCAGGCTTCTGAGCCATTACCTTTCCCACACTGCAGACATTTTTTTGCTATGCTTCTCTTCTTTGTTGTACTTGTACATTCTTCCCTTGCACTAATACCCGGTTCAAGCCCCACAATATCCATGAAGTCTTCCTTGACCATCCCTGTCCATAGTGACCTCTCGAGGGATAGTAACGTAAGTGTCCTGGAGTACTACTTTTCCATTCAAGTATTTACGTCTTATCTCTCCAGCTAGTGGTACCTAAGCTCTTTGGGGCAGGCCTTGGGACGCCCTAGAGTTCCAAGCACAGAGCTGGATGAACACATAGTAGGCCCTGTATTTGCAGTCAGGATCATGTGACTGACATCTAAAAGGAAATATTAGACCACAACAATGTCAGATTACGCAGACATGTTTGCTAAATAAATAAGCAAAATGTACTCCTTGATACTCTACGACTACAAATTCTATTTCCATAAAACCCAACTGTTATCTTCAATACAGCCCTATCCCTGGGGAAACCCCTTAGGAACTTGGCTCAGACAGGGTTCAGAAACAGGTACCCAACCCAGACACTGAAGACAAACAGAAACAAGGTAGTCATAGAGGACAGCAGGCTATTATCACCATGTAGAATACAACCCCATGCATGCAGACAATGTGGGAGAGTTACAATTTCAGACCGCAACAGACAAACTAGCTTAGGAGCACCTGGAAGGTCACAGGCAATGTCTGGTAAGAGAGCTTGGGAGGAGGCTCTGTCTCACAGCAAGAATGTGCCTCACCAAACATGGATTCTTTAGGGCTTCCCCTTCTATATACCTCATGTCATTCCTAAGAATGCATTCAAGGAACCTTTCCAGGAGTGTAAAAGAGAGGCTCCAATATCTCATTAGCTGAGTCAGCCCTTGGCCCACTATATTCTCTTATAGGAAGGAGAAAAAAGACAATAAACAAAAAACAAACATACAAAAAAAACCCAAACAACAACAAAATGTCCATCTCTCCCCCAAGAAGGAGCTCTCTTTTTCTGTGAGACTCATATCCTACAGACACAGGAACCAGCTGAATCAAAAAGAAAAGTCACAGATTTTTTCCAAAGTAGCTGATTTCCAAGTTAGAGACCAAGCTGCAGAATGTGAGATTATCTGGCAATAACTATCCTTGGGGTTGTGAGGAGTAATCTAAACAGTGATACAGTAACTCTGTCCTCCCACCTCTGTCCCTCGCTGTCTGATGATAATATCTGATCGTATTAACTTGGGAAAAAATTCACTCAGCTAAAAGTAAAGAGATATTTTGGATACTGTGGGATACAGTTGTGATAGGAGGAGTCAGCAATGAGGTGGGTTTGAAAGGAAAGAAGGAACAGATTAATTCTTGGGTATAGGTCTGCCCCATCCCCACCTTGCGGATCTAGTTCCCCAGTCTGGGTGGTTATGGCACAAGGTGGCATAAGGAAGCCATTCAGTGTTCCTAAGGCATTTTGTTTGGCTTTGCCAATCCCAGCCTAGTCTGGTCTGCTCCCCTAGCATGTGGACTGGAGAGAGGGACTCACCACAGGTTGAGCATTTTCAGGCAGCTACAGAGTGTGTAAAGAGAAAAACACAGAAAGGAAGAGAGAAAGAGAGAGAGATTAGTCCACAGAGGTGAGATGGAAGCGACTCCCTGTGAGCCATGCAAACATGCAGAATGTGTCTGTGTTTAGTTTCTTCCTGTCAAGGTAGGGTGAGTAGGCCCAGGCCACTTGGTCCCCACACTAAAGGGGAGGGGGCAGGTGACTGAAAGAAGCATCAAGGTGGCAGCTGGATCTCAGTGAGGGGTAAGGTAAAACAGAAAGAGTTGGTGGGAGCCCCAGGGTGGGCTTTCCTGGGCAACTTCAAGGAAGGTAGCAGGAGAAAGAACAATGATCCTACCTATAAGAATTCACTTAAGCACCAAGGCCAAGCCATTTTGGTTCCCACATGAAATCTTACTGCGCAATTTGTTAACCTCCCAACTATTCTGAGGGAAAGCAAAGTCTCTAGGCTTTTTCTAAGTCCAACATACCTGACCAAAGCAGCCAGCAGTTAGCTCTTCCTCTAGCGGGGAGAAAAGGCTTAGGAGACACTTTACCATAGCAGGAGATGACTCAGAGGAAGAGGGTCACTGCTCTGGATTAAGGCATAATTGCTAGAGAAGGGCCTGAATCCCATTCTTATTAATTTTGGAGGAAAATGAGGTCCACATTTGCTAAGTAAGTCAATGGATAACCAAAAATTCTTGTGTTCTTACCACAACAAAAATTAACCAAAAAGCTGCCTTGCCTCACTACCCTTCCAATCATACTTAAACAGGGATATGTGTCCTTTAGCTAGAGAAAAAGGAAAGTTAAATGTTCATTTTATATATAGAACAAAAACCAAGACCCTGTTATTTCTCTCCTCCTTTACACAAAACAAGCTGGGTGGGCCGGCTCCGTGGCTTAGCGGTTAAGTGTGCGCGCTCTGATGCTGGCGGCCCGGGTTCGGATCCCGGGCACGCCCCAAGGCACCACTTCTCCGTCCAACGCGAGGCTGAGTCCCACGTACAGCAACTAGAAGGATGTGAACCTATGACATACAACTATCTACTGGGGCTTTGGGGGG